CAGCGAAGAGTAAACCCGTCCAAGCCACGAGGCGCCAGTTTCTCCAGAAGAATGATGTGGGAGACGCTGTCAAAGGCTTTTCTAAAGTCCAAATGAGGGCTTCGTTTTCCTGGGCACTATGCAGAGATGCTGAGGAGCTTGTCAAATGCACAGACTAGATCAGGGCGCTACAGAGCTTCCTCTGTATAGGGGGTGAAGAGGAGAGACTTGTCTGTCAGGATCCTAATGCAGAGGTGGGACGTCAGCTACAAGTACAGACTTCATCACTCGTGTCCCATTCTCCTTGGGGAACTGGAGAAAGAACAACACCTAGGGACCTCACAGGGAAAACCTCAGAGCCAGAGTCCACTTTTAGCATCCCTCAGAGCAGTCCATGCGCTGCTTCTTACCCCTGCAGTTCCTTTCCTGTGTGGGTTGGTTCATTTGTTCTCTGGACCTGGGTGCAGGGAACAATATTCCTCTGGCTTCAGGAGCCAGAGGGACTTGGCAGGACAGCATTTGTCTGACAAAAATCTCTGCCTTCTTTCTGTACAGGAAAGACTTTGAAATGAGTCAATTGAATTCAAGGATTGAAGATGGGCAAGTGACTGAGGCCCAGCTGCAGAAGAAGATCAAGGAGCTCCAGGTATGGTGGGAAGAACTGTTCTCACAGCCCAGGAGTCCTAAATTTACATCAGATGTAACGTGCATGGGCCAGTCCCCCTCTGAGCACAGGGGCATCTGCTTGGCAGAAGAGTGATGAAAAAAGCTGGCATTGTTAGCAGAAGCAAAGCCCTCTGCCTAAATTTGATGTCCAGTGTCCAAACTCTGAAGATCCAAATCTAGTATGTTGGGCTTCTTCCTAGCAGAGACAGGCCCCCAGGTTCAGGCTCTTTGCATGGAGGCTTCCCATTGAAGGGAGGCCAGTACCAGCCTGGATCCTGCTGGCAGGGTATAGAGCAGAGCAGAAGCTCTGCAAAGCAGGCTATCAAGGAGCAGTAAGCATGCCTGCCTCAGAGAATCTCAAAAGAGCCCAAGTATTTGCTCCAGGCTAGTGACTTGTTGCTCCCCAGCATCAGAGGAGACACTTTGCTCCATTGCGGGGAGCAAAGATGCTGGAGCTTCACCAGGTTATTACCTTACTCTGTCTCTGCCAGGCACGCATTGAGGAGCTGGAGGAGGAGCTGGAGGCTGAGCGTGCTGCCAGAGCCAAGGTGGAGAAGCAGCGGGCAGAAGTGTCACGGGAGCTGGAGGAGCTGAGCGAGCGGCTGGAGGAGGCTGGTGGGGCGACGGCCACGCAGCTGGAGATGAACAAGAAGCGGGAAGCAGAGTTCCTGAAGCTGCGGCGGGACCTGGAGGAGGCAACCCTGCAGCATGAGTCCACGGCAGCTGCCCTGCGGAAGAAGCACGCAGACAGTGTGGCAGAGCTGAGCGAGCAGATTGACAACCTGCAGCGTGTCAAGCAGAAGCTGGAGAAGGAGAAGAGTGAGATGAAGATGGAGGTGGATGACCTATCATCCAACATTGAATACCTCACCAAGAACAAGGTGGGCACTGGTTCTGTACGGGGCAGGTTCAGCTCTTCTGTGACCATCAGTGCAACGTCTTGTCCTAGGTAGCTCTTTGCCATGGCAAATTCCTTCTCTTTTCACTGGGTATAGCTTGTCCCTGTGTCACTATGGCAGTGCTTGCAGGAGACTGTGCTTGTCCTAGTCAGGTCTGGAGGATCTGGGAAGACATTTCCTGGGAGACTGACTGCAGAGAGCCACTGTGACCTTAGCAGAGACACAAGAGCTCTGGCAGGCTCCTGCCTTGTGTGCACATAGGATCAGCTGAGCAGGGCAGCAAGGTCCCAGGCTGATGCAGTTGCTAAGCCTCTCCTGGGGTAACGGTGCTCTCTGGGCAGAGCTGGGTCTCACCAAGCTTTGCTTGGTGCATGCAGGCCAATGCCGAGAAGCTGTGCCGCACCTATGAGGACCAGTTGAGCGAGGCCAAGTCCAAAGTGGACGAGCTGCAGCGACAACTGACTGACGTGAGCACACAGCGGGGCAGGCTGCAGACTGAGAATGGTAGGTGCGGGCAGCAGCCAGGGGACATGTGGCTGCCCTGGGGCTGGTCTTATACTGTGGCATCTGAGTAGGGGAGCCATGGTTCAGCTGGGCGGACTGTCCTGCTTCTCCTGTGGACAAAAAAAAATACCAGGAGCTCCATCTGGAGCGGAGGAGTGTGGGATGTTTGTGTTGTGCCTCTGCTCAGGCCTTGCAGAGGTAGCATATATCTTGGCGAGGAAGAGGACCTCTGTGGTGATGCTAGTTGTGCTGTGATCTCAGGCATCAGAAGGAGGGGTTCCTAGCTGGCCTACTGCCTTTCACTGGTGGCACGCACCTCTGCCCGTGGGCCCCAGCTTGCCTGGGTGGGGATACAGCTGGGACTGCTGGAGATCAATCCATGCAGCTGAAGGCCACAGGGTCTGGGTGTGTGGGCTAATGCAGATTGCAGACCTTAGCCCCCAAAGTAGCTATTCTGGCCCTGTTTGAACCCAGGGGAGCTTAGTCGGCTGCTGGAGGAGAAGGAGTCCTTCATCAACCAGCTGAACCGTGGCAAGACCTCATTCACACAGAACATCGAGGAACTAAAGAGGCAGCTGGAGGAAGAGACCAAGGTGAGGCTTCTAGGGCATAGCTGATCTCCAAGGGACACAGATCTTGGGGAATGGGATGTGTATCCCACTGTGGCAGTGGCCCAAATTCTTGGGCTGGGGAGGTGGGACATACTCTGCACACAGGAACCCCAAGGGCAGCTCTTAGCCTGGCACAAACAGAAGTTCCCTCCCGCTGCCCCCAGTCCTGGCACCATGGTCAGTGTCCTGGAGCCTGGGGCCAGCTGCATCTTGATGAGCATGATGAGCTCATCATCATGCTCTCATGAGCTCTCCCTTCCTCAGAGCAAGAATGCCCTGGCCCATGCTCTGCAAGCCTCCCGGCATGACTGTGACCTGCTGCGGGAGCAGTACGAGGAGGAGGTGGAGGCCAAGAGTGAGCTCCAGAGGAACTTGTCTAAGGCCAATGCGGAAGTGGCCCAGTGGAGAACCAAGTATGAGACGGATGCCATTCAGAGGACGGAGGAGCTGGAAGAAGCCAAGTGAGTCTCATGGCTGGAGTTTGTTCTTTGCAGGTTTCCGTTCAAGGATGGGGCTTTCCCAGACCCTAGATTGAGGCTGCATCCTCCTGCCCAGACTTGAGGCTGTCTGGGCTGGCTGTGGCCTCCCCTCCTTAGAGCAGCGGGATGGGATGACACTTGGGCTGGGGGCACTCACCCCGTGCTGCCATCGGCAGGAAGAAGCTGGCCATTCGGCTGCAGGAGGCGGAGGAGGCGGTGGAGGCTGCCCACGCCAAGTGCTCCTCATTGGAAAAGACCAAGCACCGGCTGCAAACAGAGATCGAGGACCTCTCGGTAGACCTGGAGCGTGCCAACTCGGCCTGTGCTGCCCTGGACAAGAAGCAGCGCAACTTTGACAGGATCCTGGCTGAGTGGAAGCAGAAGTATGAGGAGACCCAGGCGGAGCTGGAGGCATCACAGAAGGAGTCACGCAGCCTGAGCACAGAGCTCTTCAAGCTCAAGAATGCCTATGAGGAGTCCCTGGACAACCTGGAGACCCTCAAGAGGGAGAACAAGAACCTGCAGGGTAGGACTGGGCTCAAGCTCTTCCCTTGGACTCTCTGCCCCTCATCCTGCTTTCATAAGCAGCCTGTGGCTCCTGTGTCTTCAGCCTTGTGGTGGGATGGAGGTCCCTTGTAGGCAGGGAGCAGATCTTGCTGCTCAGCCAAGCCTGGCCCATTTCCTCCGTGGAGGGATGCAGCAGCCCAGCCAGGAAGCCAGCATGTGTCCTGCCCTCTTGCTGGGGGCAGTCTGGGCAGACAGGTAGTGCCAATTGGCTGTTTGCAAATGGCGCATGTTTTGCTGCTGAGAGTGTCATGGCTGTGGCATGACACTGGCTTGGGAGTGTTGCTCTTGGACAAGCAGGTCTCCATGGGTCCTTAATGCCTCTCCCATGCCCTCTCCTTCACCTAGACTGCAGGGGAGCACAGCAGGGCCCAGAAATGGCCCCAGGCACACACTCAGCTGCTCTCCAAGAGGCTGGGGGGTCATCAGGCGAGCCTGGGCAGGGGGATAGGGAAGTCACCTGCATGGGGCTGGCCCCACAAACTTGTTCCTGACCAAACGCCCTTTTGTCCCTGCCAGAGGAAATTGCTGATCTGACTGACCAGATCAGCCTGAGTGGTAAAACCATCCATGAGCTGGAGAAGCTGAAGAAAGCCCTGGAGAGTGAGAAGAGTGATATCCAGGCAGCTCTGGAGGAGGCTGAGGTGGGTCCTTGTTTCCCACTGATGCTTGCATGTACCCACTTGCCCTCAAGAGCTACTGGCCCACCCTGCAGCTCTGGTTGGGTGCTGCTGGAGCAGCAACCCACACTGTGCTGGCAGGGTGATAGCCCTGAGCTGGGCTGGCACCCCTGGGCACCCTGCTCATGGGGTTTGTGTAACCACAGCAAGGCCCTGGGGTGGCTCCACCGGCCTTGCTCCCCATAGTTCTGGGCTGGGGGGCAAGGCCAGGCTGGGGTGGGTGGCTAGGGAGATCCCCACCAGCGGCCACCTTCTCATGGCTGCTGCTGTCTCTAGGGGGCCCTGGAGCATGAGGAGAGCAAGACGCTGCGCATCCAGCTGGAGCTGAACCAGATCAAGGCCGATGTGGACAGGAAGCTGGCGGAGAAGGACGAGGAGTTTGAGAACCTGAGGTGTGTGTAGAGAGGTGACAGGCTGGGCCATCATGGCAGGGGCAGAGCTGATAGTGTGGATCTGACAGGGCTGCCCCAGACTGGGTGTCCCCAGGCAGACGGGGCTAATGCATCATCCCTCCCGCAGGCGCAACCACCAGCGTGCCATGGACTCCATGCAGGCCACATTGGATGCAGAGGCCCGGGCCAAGAACGAGGCTGTCCGTCTGAGGAAGAAGATGGAGGGAGACCTGAACGAGATGGAGATCCAGCTGAGCCATGCCAACCGCCAGGCTGCCGAGTTCCAGAAACTGGGCCGCCAGCTTCAGGCCCAGATCAAGGTTGTGGCCACGGGTGGGATGGGCTCGGTGCTGTCCCTTCTGCCAGCCCCAGCTCCCTCCTGTCCCCACTGACCCCACGCTGCCCGGCAGGACCTGCAAATCGAGTTGGATGACACTCAGCGCCACAATGACGACCTGAAGGAGCAGGTGGCTGCCCTGGAGCGCCGCAACAACCTGCTGCTGGCAGAGGTGGAGGAGCTACGGGCAGCGCTGGAACAGGCGGAGAGGAGCAGAAAGCTGGCGGAGCAGGAGCTGCTGGAGGCCACTGAGAGGGTCAACCTGCTCCACTCCCAGGTGAGGGACCACCAGATCCTGGGTCTCTGCTGGAGCAGCAGGAGCCTGTCTGGCAGCGGGGCAGCTGGACATGGTGAACGGCTGGTCCCTGTGGCACTGTCCTGCTCTGCCCACAGAACACGGGCCTGATCAACCAAAAGAAGAAGCTGGAGACCGACATCTCACAGCTAAGCAGTGAAGTGGAGGACGCGGTGCAGGAGTGCCGCAACGCTGAGGAGAAGGCAAAGAAGGCTATCACAGACGTAAGATCGTGGTGGGGATGGTGCTGTATGGTTCGGCAAGGGTGCTTAGCACCGTGTGGGGCTGGTGGGTGGGAGGAGAGAGGAGGGTCTTAGAGCTTCTCCATTGAGCCCCTGTGTCTCTCGGGGTGCCTGGCCTTGTGGTGATGCCTCTGTGCCTCGCAGGCTGCCATGATGGCAGAGGAGCTGAAGAAGGAGCAGGACACGAGCGCGCACCTGGAGCGGATGAAGAAGAACATGGAACAGACCATCAAGGACCTGCAGATGCGCCTGGACGAAGCAGAGCAGATTGCTCTCAAGGGGGGCAAGAAGCAGATCCAGAAGCTGGAGGCCAGGGTGAGAAGGCAGAGGCAGACCCTGACTGTGCCCCCCAGGAGCAGGCTCCTGGTGCTGCTCCAGCCCCTGTGGCACCAGGCTTTGCAGGGCACTGGCACTGCCCCATGCCTCTGGGGCCAGGTTGTGCCAGAGCGGGACTGTGGGCAGTGAGGGGCAGTTCCTGAGGAGCTGCAAGCCTGGGGCTGGTTCCCTGCCTTTTGCTTGGGGTGGCTTTGCCTCTGCTGTGGCTACTCTAAGCTGGGAAAATTGTCTTGGTCTCAGCTGGGGCTGGTGCTAAGGAGCAGAGTGCTGAGCTGGCCTCTGACCACCCACAGGTGCGGGAGCTGGAGGGAGAACTGGATGTGGAGCAGAAGAAGATGGCTGAAGCCCAGAAAGGCATTCGCAAGTACGAGCGGAGGATCAAGGAGCTGAGCTACCAGGTACGGCAGCACCGGGCACAGCTCCGGCCCAGCTGGGCTCAGCCCAACTCTCCCTGTGCTCAGATCCTTGTGTTACCCAACATGCGACTCCAGCCCAGCACAGCCTTGGCTTGTTCTGGGTGCTGTGCTGAGACTGACAAGGGCAGGATGGGCTTCTCCCTTGTCCCAACATCCTCCACCTGCTCTGGGTCTTTGTCCTGCCCCTTTGCTGGCACTTCCTAAGCTAGGTGCTGGGGGAACCAGGGGACTCCCACCTGGAGTACTGCATCCAGTTCTGGAGCCCTCAGCACAGGAGAGACATGGACCTGCTGGAGTGGGGCCAGAGGAGGCCACAACAATCCTCCAAGGGCTGGAACAGATCTGCTGTGAGGACAGGCTGGGAGAGCTGAGGGGTTCAGCCTGGAGAAGAGAAGGCTCCGGGGAGACCTTATTGCAGCTGCCAGGACCTAAAGGGGGCCTATAGGAAAAATGGGGACAGGCTTTTTAGCAGGGCCTGTTGCAATAAGGGGAAATGGTTTTAAAGCAAAAGAAGGCAGATTCAGACTAGATACAAGGAAGACACTGTTGACAATGAGGGTGGTGAAGCACTGGCCTGGGTTGCCCAGAGAGGTGGTAGATGCCTCATCCCTGGAAACATCCCAGGTCAGGTTGGATGGGGCTCTGAGCAACTTGCTCTAGTTGAAGATGCTCATGGCAGGAGGTTGGACTAGATGGCCTTGAAAAGGCCCTTCCAACCCAAAGATTCTATGATAATTCTATGGCATGGGGCTGGTGGCTGGATCGGTGGGGCAGGTTGGTGCTCTCTGTGTTTGAAGAGCCCTGTCACCACTGGGACTCCTGGGTAATGGTATTGGTGCATCTGGAGCCTGAGGTGGGGGCTCTGCTGCGGTCCTGCTAATGGGGCCAGGTCACTTGCAGGCTGAGGAAGACCGGAAGAATCTGACACGGATGCAGGACCTGATCGACAAGCTGCAGAGCAAGGTCAAGAGCTACAAGCGCCAGTTTGAGGAGGCGGTAGGTGCCTGTGCCCAGCGCAGCTCTCCCCCCGCCCCAGGGGGAGGACAGTGCTGGCCTTCCCCCAGGCTGCCTGGGATGTTTGCAAGGGAAAGGGGCCACGGGGGTGGTGTGGGGAGCTCACAGCCTGGCTGTGCCTCATGCACCACCCCCCCACCCCTCCAGGAGCAGCAGGCCAACTCCAACCTGGTGAAGTACCGCAAGGTGCAGCACGAGCTGGATGATGCCGAGGAGCGTGCTGACATCGCCGAGACACAGGTCAACAAGCTGCGCGCCCGCACCCGGGAGGTCATCACCTCCAAGGTATGCCCACCCTGCTGTGGGGAGGGGGAAGCAGGGCAGGGGGTCCTGCCATCCCTCGAGCCACGGGAGCAGCTGTACAGCCCAGGGCCACATCCTGCTGCCCCTCACCTGCCAGCACCCAAACGGTGGCAGAGTGCTCCTGCCTCCAGGCCCAGGATCTCACCAAAGACCTTTTGGTTTTGTTTTTTTTTTCCAGCATGAGTAGTAGAAGCCCAGCTGCCTGCCCTGCCCGCTGTAGGTTGAAGGTAAATGGCTGCAACAGTCACTGCCAGCTTTGTACTGTGTGAATAAAAGTAGATCTGCCAGGACTTGCTCCATTGTGTCCGTCATGGGGTAACGGGGCTTGGGCTCTGCTGTTGGGGGGCAAGCTGGGGACATCTTTCCCAGGCAGGGAGGGGCAGAAGGAGGGCACCTTTCCCCATCTTTCCTATAGGCCCCCTTTAAGTCCTGGCAGCTGCAATAAGGTCTCCCCAGAGCCTTCTCTTCTCCAGGCTGAACCCCTCTCCTCTCCCTGCTCTGAAACCTCAGGGGAGGTTTAGATTGGACATTAGGAAAAAGCTCTTTACTGAAAGAGCGGTCAGGCATGGGAACAGGCTGCCCAGGGAGGTGGTAGAGTCACCATCACTGGAGGTGTTCAAAACCAGGTAGATGTGGCACTTTAGGACATGGTGGTGTCATAGATGATGATGATCTTAGAGGTCTTTTCCAACCTTAATGATTCTGTGATTCTCTACTGCATGGGTTTGCTCCAGGTTTGCTCCGAGAGCCCTTTCCTCAGCCCCTCCCACTGCAACACTTCACCCCCCTCCCTGCTGGAGGGGAGCAGAGCTGAGGGATGAGGCAGGGTAGGCGCCAAGGGCAGAACAGAGCCTGAACAGAGCCCATGGAAACAGTGCCTCCTGGGAAGAACCTAAAACCCCAAACTGCAGTCCTGCAGGGTGGGTATGGCTTTGGCAAAGAAAGACATCTCCACTCATTTCTTTAAAATAGATTTCTTTAATAGTTTCCATTTAATAGGTTTATCTGCAGTTAGTAAATTGGCATTAATCTGGGCAGCACGAACCTCAGCCATCCACAGGGCCAGTGCAGCCTTCCAGCAGTATTTGTTTGCAAGGAAGGTCCCCACCTCCATCCCATCCCAGCGTGTTGCCTGCTGCGCCCTCCTCGGCACCACGCAGGACGCTTCCCCTATGTGCGCTCCACAAACAAGACAAAACAAGGATGAAGGACAGAGCTGGCCGGTCCTCTCAAAATTATATTCTCGAGGCACCCATCATGGACAGGACTGTGGGCCCTGTTCAATCGTGCCCGTGACCCTCCCTGCCCACTCCTGCCCGCTGCAGGCGGAGCCTTGCCCCTGGGGCCCAGCACACTCCCTCGCTGCAGGAGCCGCCCTGTGTTTCTTTCCGTGGCCTCCTGCAAAGGCAAAGCCACGCTGCCTCGCACAGGTGAGGACCCGAACGTTCCTGCACAGCCGAAGGCAGGCTGGTGTGACAGCCACGCAGCCCGGCGTGACAGTCAAGGCCCAACGCAGCTTGGGCCGTGCCTGTACGCTACAGGAGTAGAGCTGTAAGTGAGACGCTGCAGGGTTACGGCAGCAATCCTTGGATGCACCAATTAACTAGACTATGGAAAAGGCATCCCTTAACTTAAAAGCCTTTTAATTTGAAGCATTTATTTTAAGTGTACATCTATTACAGTTAAGAAGAAGCAAAGATACACCAAAAACACAAATACCCAAGAACGAAAAAGTACAGATGAGAAAGAAATTAGCTCAGGGGAGGGAGGGGGTGACCTGATGAAGAACAGAGAGTTGCAGCCGCTGTAGTGAGAAGCTCCCCAACACAAGGGGTGTGACAGGGGTGACCTCAGGGGAGCAGGGCAGAGCCTGCCCAGGGGATTCAGCCCCCCAGGGAGGGACACAAGGATCCCCAGGAGCATCTCAGGTTCTGGGTTTATGCAGGAGCTCAGCAGCTCCAACCACCCTGCAAGCAAAGTACTGACTGCAAGTCCACAGCAGGACAGCGAAGTGCAAGACAAGCAAGAGAGAAAGGTGACTTTCAGAGAGCAAGTCCTGCGCCTGGGGCTGGAAGGAAGCCTCATTCACTTGTCCAGGCCCCAGCACAGGGAGTCATGGAATAGGTTCCGTTCTGCTCGCAACAATTATCAACAAAATGCTACAGCTCTGGGACAGCCCTCTCCAGAGCTGAAGTCATCTCATCAAATAAGTTAAGAAAATAAAAAAACCCAAAATTCAGATACATGTTTCAAAGAAAACTGGTTCCTTTTAGCTGGAACTGCAAGATGTATTTTTTGACTTAAATGCAGTGGCTCAGGACTTCAGACTGTATTTCATTCCTGGGAACCTGACTGTCTTAGAGCAACACAATTAACGTTGGTGAGCGGGCAGGGCAGGTGCAGGTCTGGCACTCGGGACTGCCAAAACCCCTTTCCCAACATATCCTACAAAGTTACTTTCAACCAGGAGTGTTTATTCCCAGCATTTAACACATTCTGATTAAAACAGATCCAGGAAAACACTGATATCTCCAGTAAATATTGCACTTCAAGATTAATGAGTGTGTTGATATTAAGGACTGAAAGCAGAGACTGACATAAGACTTCCAGGCATAGCAGGTTAGCATCACGAGCAATGGTCCTGAAAAGGATTTTAAAACCAGATTAGTTACCCAAGAAGGGACAAGCCGCAAGTTTAAAAAATTAGTACATTTTAATGCTAGCGCTCCGTGAAAAAGCCAACCCCTGTTGCAATCCCACCACTGCTGAAACGTCTCTGTTCTCCGCAGCACTGTAAAAACGCCTTCAGATGGGAAGGATCTGCAGGAAAGACAGAAGGAGCAGAGGTTCTCTCCTAATGCACAGACAGATTTAGTACCAAATGATCCAAAAGTAGATGGTAAAGAGGTGACTGGAGCTAGGGCTCTCAGGAATTAAAAGCACACACACACACGCACTCACACTCTAACCAACCCTAAACCCCCGATTCCAAACCCCAACAGAAGAGTTACACCTGACGGGAGTCCTCATGGTGGCTCTGCACATGGCTGGTGCATCAGGGTCCCCGTCAGACTGGCTCCTTGGACCTCACATTTGGAGGGCAATTTCTGTGCTTTTTGACTTGCTAATTCTGGTCACCATGAAAGAGAGCCACAACTACATTGGCACATACAGAGTATCCTCAGCTGTCAGCAAAAAAATAAAAAAAATCTCTGACCAGCCACGCTGGACTGGGAAAGAGAAAAAACAAAAATAAAGAGGCTGGTTTTCATAGGTGATTATTTTTATCCCAGAACAACTGGAAGATACATCCCTGAATGTGTTGCCCAGAGAGCTTTCAAATTCTGATCCGTTAGAGATCAGAGATGGGGACCAGGAGGGGGCTGGGGTTTTGACAATGCGGTAACGCTCCACGGTTCCAAGCCGCACACGCACACACACACTACACAGCGTATCCCTGAAAATCCACGGGCTGCGAGGTACCCTCCAAGCGCTGTCCATCAGAAGCCAGAGCGAAGAATTACTCCTCAGAAAAGTCTCTGTCAATGTCCATATATGCCTCGTCAATGTAGCTAACTATGGCACAGGGGGATGTCCGGTCTGGACTGAGCAGTATAGATACAGTCTCTTTCCAGTAGGTAAAACTAATACATGAGCTCTGTGGGAAGAGATGAAGAGGCTGGTTAGCATGGAGCACAGGCATCACCATGCAACAGAAGACCCATCCCAAACGCATTCAGTGGAGAGAACTGAAAATCATTTCCTGATCAGCCCGACTTCCCCAGCCAGTTTCACACCTCCGACTCACCCTCCAGCCCACCTTCCCTGGGTGGGGGCAGGTGCCGAACCAATGACCCCTTCTATAGCCAGCCTCCCGCCACCCAGCTACAGGTAGGGACTCCCAGCACCGGGGGCAACTATAGCCTGGCTAAGAGCAGCACAGGGTGACCACCATGCCAACAAGCATGGGCCAGTAGGCAGGGCACACACACAAGCCCAGACTTCTCCTTCGCTGCCCAGTCCAAACACAGGCACTGCGGTGCTGCAGATCAAGCCAATGCTGGCAGTAGCTTCCGCCCCTAGGGTAGACACAAAGACAATACGGTCTCCCTGCCTGCATCCCTCCTGCAACATTCTCAAGGCCAAAAGGCCTCTTCGGCAGCCCTACACAACACCACATGTTGCCCAAAGCCTTTACACACTGGACTACTATCTACTTCCACCCCACCAGTGGCCCAAGATACAATGAGCACTGCAATGCACGTGCACAGTGCGATGCAACCCTTAAACACAGCAATGGCAGAGAGCTTTGGTCTCGGCAGCATCTCCCCTCCACAGCCCAGCACACTGTGGACACGCCAGGGGCCCCAGGTCTAACTGGCTCAGCCCAACACTGACCCAAGCAGGAAGTATCCTGCGCAAAATGAGGCAGAGAGAAAAGCGTTACAAGTCTGCACTGTTCAGCGCAGCTTGTCCCTCCCACACAGACTCCCCTCCATCACACTCCCCCTTTCTGGGTAATTGAAGGTCCTTATTTTAACTACTTTCAAAGCCCTAACTCTGCGCCTCTCCAGGTACCTCATCTTTAGGAGACTGCCTGCACTGCACTCCCCTCACAGCCGCAGGGCTGTGTGCTGCAGTGTACATGCACACCAGAGAAGGGCTTTAAAATTCTGTTAAAGATGCCACCCAATCACTGAAAAGTCAAGGGAGAAACCTGTGCAACCTCACTTCAGCCTTCTAGCACATATACAAGGGAGTTGCCATCTCATCACAGGTCATTTCTTCTGCTTCTCAGTGCCCAAGACAGGCCAGCTCTGGAGTGGAAACCTGCAGGCTGCTTTCCACAGGGCAGCTGCCCCAGATACTTTTCCTGCACTCTTTGCCACACCAGGAAGAGAGGGGACAGTCTGGTTAAGGTGTTAAGTAGTTTGGGAGCTGGATTCTGTCCTGCCTCCACATCCCTGCCGCTCAAACCCGGTCAGCATTGGCAAGTCTCACTTCTGTGTGCCAGAGCCAAGACCTAAGGGCTTGTTTGCGGGGAAACTCAACACCTACCTCGTGGCAGTCTGACTGCTTGCAGAAAGGACCTGACCAGGTAAGATGGTGTGAAAGGCACTATAGAAAGTTACACTGGGGGGAAGAACTTGCTCCCTTCTTTCCCTTCACAGCCTCTCACTTCCCATTTTTGCTAGGTGACTAGTAGACAGATATTGCTATGATTAATTCTTGTTATGGTAAGAGGTTCACATACATTTTCTAAGCAGGTGCTGTCTTTATCCTTG